TGGTGAATACGCATGCGCCCCGCGGCTTCCATTTCCCTCACGGCTCTCCCTTCACTTCTCACTCCTCCTAAGCGAGGCCCCCTCCCTGACACAAAACGTCACTTCCTACAAAGAGGGGAGGAGGAGGAGGATTAGTAGTAGTTCAGAAGTGGGCGGAGCGTGCGCGCGTCACTTCCTCTCCGAGCCTGCCGCTTTTTTTTTTTTGCCGCTGCTGCCACAGTTGAGGCGTCGTCGTTGTCGTTGGTCAGCGGAGAGGCTCGCGCGGCTGGACGTCCTCGTCTTCCTCCGAGAACCGTGTCTCTGTCCGGCCTCGAGGGGCGGGGCGGGGCCTGGGGCGGGACGGCAGTTCCACAGTTGTCTCCCTCCGCGGCGGAGCCACCAGCAGCCCTGAAGAGCCGAGCCAGGCCCAGCCGAGCCGGGCCCTCTGACGGGAAGAGTCGGAGGAACCTGCTGCTCCTGCTGCTGAAGCTGAGGGCCGAGGGGAGAGTCGCTCGGCAACGGTGAGGGAGTTGCCTCCGCGCATGCGCCTCAGGACGGCGGGCAGTGCCTCCTCAGGGCCCTGAGGGCGGATGGGAGACCGAGGGGAGGACTCCCTTCCCAGGACGCGTCCTACATTTCAGCCTTCTGTCCAGGAAGGGCTCCAAAACGTACTCCATTTTGAGCACGACTAAGAAGCCGGAGCTCATATTTATGCTAGTGCTTCTAGTTTCTACTTCCCCCCACCCCATGCCCTCCATTTTCCCCTCGAAGGTCCTCCATTTTGTGGTGCCTTGTCCTCCTTTGCGATGAGGACGTGCGCCTGGTCGCCCTGGCCGTGTCAACACATCCCCGCCGCAGTGTTTCTTGTTAAGTCTCCACACTCCCAGCTCAACTAGACGTCCTCCTTTCCCAGGACACGTCCTACATTTCCCTCCCTCTGTCCAGGAGGAGTTTCCAAAACGTCCTCCATTTTTAGCAGGAATAAGAAGCAGGAGCTTATATTTATATGGGTGTTTTTTTTTTTAACTTTTACTTTGGTCATGCTCTCCATTTTATGCTTGAAGGTCCTCCATTTTGCCGTGCCTTGGCCCCCTTTTGTGGTGAGGACATACCTGGTCACCCTGGACAGGCTCCTTTTTCTTCCTCTCCCAGAGGGCCCTCTCTTCCACCAGGCCTGTGTTTCCTCTCAGGCTTTGCGCTTGAGTTTGGTTTCCCTCTGGTTCTCTTTGCAGGCTGCCCTTCTGCAGTTGTTCCTTGATGGTGGACAGAGCAAGAGGAGGAGGCAGGCAGTAGTATCTTTCTTATCTGTAGTTCACAATACAGTGGGCCCTTGGTATCCGCTGGGGTTTGGTTCCTGGACCTTCCATGGATGATGGTGGTGATGAAGATTATTATTTTTATTATTATTATTATATTTATTTCTTACCCATCCACCCCCATGGATTGGTGAGCAACAACAATTAATAGACAGACAACATCTGTTAAAGTGCACATCAATTTCAAAGGACAAACCAGATGTATATAATTTAAAACAACCCACGTTTAAAATCCACAATTTACCCAGATGAGGGTAAGCCTGCCAGAAGAGACTGGTCTTTAATGTTGTTTTTTAATTCAGACAGCGTATTCAGCTGTGGAATCTTCCAGCAGGTCATTCCGCAATGTAGGGGTGGCTGAAAAAGAAATCCTCTGGCTGACAATTGCTAACCTAGTCTTGGCTGGCAGAAGTAAATGTCCCACAGATTACTCAGGAGAAGGCAATCCTGTAGGTAACCTGGACGCAAATCATGTAGGGCTTTAAAGGTAATAATCAACACTTTGTACCTTCCCCGGAAACTGACTGGCAATCAGTGGAGTGATTTTAATATTGGTGCAATATGATCACTCCTGAATGCCCCAGTAATCAATCTGGGTGCCAAAATCCATGGATGCTCAAGTCACATGTTATACAATGGCATAGTGAAATGATAACCATTATATAAAATGGGAAAATCAAGGTTTGCTGTTTGGAATTGATCTATTTTTGGGGTATTTTCAAGCCATGGATGATTGAATCTGTGGATATGGAAGGCCGATTGTACAGAGAAGGGAGAGTCGGGGTGGGTTGGTGTGCAAAGGGATCTTGTAGCATCTTTGAGACTAACTGAAAGAAAGGAGTTGATAGATGCATGGGGTAGAGTGGAGAATCCAGAGACAGACCTACATAAGCTTGTTGTGTGTAAGAATGTCACTTGAAATTCGAAACCACATGGATGTGGTGACAAGTTCAGTTTTAACCATGGTTGTTGGGGGACAAAAGCAGGAGGAAGGATGTTGCCTAAAGCCAAGGACAAGGCTTTATGGAGTTTTTCACAGTGGTACGAAAATGGCTGATTCAGAATATAATGGACTGGAGTCTTCTTCTTTTGGAGTTTTTTAAACAGAGGTTGGATGGCCATTGTGGGAGTACTTTGATTTTGTATTCCTGCATGGCAGTAGGTTGGACAATGGCCCTTGGGGTCTCTTCTGGCTCTGTGGTTGTCTGATTGTATGAACCTGAATTTAATTTGTGGGGGTTGTACGTTGCTTTAGAAAGACAAATGGCCACAGTAACCTTAACATATTCAGTGGTAGCCACGTTGGCTAGATTGCAAAGTACAGTAACATCCAAAATCCACAAAACAGTGATACCTTCATTGGACCAACCTATACTTGATGCAAGTTTTTGAAATAAAGTTAGTTCATGGTGTCTTGGCTAAAGTTGGCTGCAGACATTAGTGTGCTGAGAGGTATCAGAGGCACTGAGGGATGGTTGTTGATGAATTAAGGACCAGTGCCTCACATCTTGTTTTGTATTGCTTTATTTTGATGTTCCCATAACAACTGCTAATATTGGAAATTGAAAATAAATTAGTATTGATTACCTTTTCCTTTCTGGAACCACGGGCAGGACCAAGGCTTTCCTGTAGCAACACATCTAGCCTCAAGGCAAGGCTCATTGGAGTAGTAGAGTGTAATTCAGGCCAGGTGTTAACAAACAGAGAGCAGGTGCAATTCAGAAAGATTTCCTGGAAAAAAAAAAACAGTCCTGCATGACTCACTGAAGTTAAGTCACATATTATAGAAATTAAAGCACCCTATCCCATGGATCTCTTCTCAATCAAATCTGCTGGAAAATGTGCAAATATTACAGTTAGTTTGACCAGTTTGTTCTCAATACTATATTTTTGTGAAATTGAAAGTTTCATGGCAACTTCTTTGGAATTTCTCCTTGACATCAGGCTTGGGTATGGAGTTCTTTATTTGTGTGAGACAAGACTGAGGTGTAGTTGGCTTGGCTAGTACAATGCAAGAATGTTTGCATCTAAAGCACATTCCAGAAACCACTATAATGTTAAGCAGTGCTGTAGCAGGTGTACAAAGGCATTAGCAGATGAATTGATGCAGAATTTGTAACTTCAATGAGGGTGCGGGAGGGGGGCGGTGGTGGGGATTTGGCCGTCAAGATAGCCTTCTCTTATTAACAGTATAATTATTGCCTTTTGTGGTATTATTGTTACTTTTTATTCAAGTAAGTGCATTCAGGTTTTGGGTTTCGTCACTTTCCATGTCCTGTTAAACTAGACAAAGGAATAGGAAAGCTCCATACTTTAGGTTGAATCCTAAAATTGAGTGGTCAACTTTTAAAGGAATATTTGTAGAGGAATATTCTGGGGGAAGATGATTTTTCTACACTCTGCTTTCAGCAGCAGTACTTCCATCCCTCTGAAAATGCAGGAGGAAGAGCATGTAGGCAAAGTGGTGGAAAACCTGGAAATTTGGTGGAGGAAATTTCCATGCATCAGTCATAATTGGATCCTGTTCCTGGAAGGTAAATTCTGGATTCAACCCAGTGTGTTAGAAGTACTTTTCTATGGGTTGAAACTGTTATCTGCTGACATCGTGTTTTGTATTCCCATAGGCATCTTGTTGCCCTTACTACATCCTTATGAGGGAGTACTGGACATGATGCCTCTGTAAATGCTAGCCTGGGGCCCCTTCCATAGTATGTTTACTATGAGGCAGAGGATGGGCAGCTAAAGGCAGCAGTAGGTAGCAGTAGGGGAGGGATGGGAAAGTCTCTCTATCTAAATGATGTTTCCTCAGCCCAACACAGAGTAGATAAGCAAAGGGTGAGGTGGCTACTGCAGCTGTTACCTTTGTTTCCTTGTAATGCATGTTTGGCACTGTGTGTGGTGTGTGTGTGTGTGTACTGGAGACAACATAGAAAGCTGCTGCTGCCTCTGCCGTTTAGCACTTGTTTTGTCTTCATTTTTAATAAAAGTTGGTTTTTTAAAAGAGAACTGAAAGGATTCTTGCACCAGTCATGGGTGCCTGTGGAAGCCATCAGTTCCCTTGGTGCCATATAGCAATTCTAGACATATCCTAAGATGCAAATATATTGGTGTTCAAACATGTAGGAATGTCATCTGCAGTTGAAATATTTTTCCATTGGCATAATAACATGTATGTCCAGCAATT